TAAAGAATGTGCAGCTTGAACAAAACCAATCTTTTCGAATCCCACAGACTTTTGAATGGTGTCTGTGAATAGCTGACATATAAACGTGACTAAGCTGTGCAAATGAGTCTGCAGTCTTCAGCGGAATGCATCGAATACGAAACGGGTGTAATAGTATACCTACCGTAATATATTTTGCTATAACTGTCAATATTCATTGTGTCAAGAATATACCCTTTTTGGTCTGTGCTGAGCCTTGCTATCAGACATTCGTTGTATGTTCACAACTTAGTACGATTTTACAAGGTGCAATGACGTTCCTAATTTAGCATCAGCTGTAAAAAAGGATAATTACCTCAAAATGAAATTGAATCTCCCAAACTATTTTAATTAAGCGTTGCTATGCCACGACGCCAATGGTGGCTAAAGACCAGATTTCGTATATTGGCCTTGAGAACGTGTCTTATCGTCCCAATAGAGGACATCCATATTGGAGTACCAAACAGTATAAACTCTCTGCACAGTTTCTACATAAAAATAGAGAAAGTGTAATGTTTTGGTACACCAACACAGCCGCTGTGACGTCACGTGAAAAAGCTATATTGTGAAGATGCGGTAATCAAGTATTTTGATCGGATTGTACTTTTAAAACTTAAAAGAGAATAAACTTTACAGATAACTACTTCAAAAAATAACATTAGTGTGTGTTTTTCTTTGCAGTTGATTATCGATGCTAAAGATAATGGGTTGTCTCCTCGTACTGGGTCAGCTATTGTCTACATCACGATCACAAGCGCTGGGCAGAATTTGCATTCACCTGTTCTTAAGAAAACTGATTACCTGGGAGGTAAGTATCTCTAGATGTAGGTTCCTCTAAAGAGGCTTTGCTCCATCACTTAACGGCAGCCATGTTAAAATTTCAAGAACATTAGCGCAGCGCGCAGATGACGTCATAAAAACAAAGACAAAAATAATAGAATCGGTTTGTATAATACTCGACAGGGTTAAACGGAATGCAATGTTTGTTTGATTCTTTCAGCTATTTTTAGAATCTGTGTGCTGCGCTATGCAATCGTTTTTTAAAAATTGGAAAGAATTCAATTCCCGAGAGCAAAGGGATTTTATTGCTCTGCCATCTAACCACAGGCAGTCCAAGCTGTGCTAATGGCGCCGGCATGTGATGGTGCAAAGCCTATATAGAACCCTTGTATGTGACGTCAAAGCAGATGAAATTGGAGGACAAAACAAAATAATTTCAATCTCCTGAGAATTGGAAACCTATCGTTATGTCCTCCAAATTGAGCTGCATTCCGACGTGCTGTAAGGGGAGTATTTGAGATTAGTTATTTTATTGTATTGAGTATACTTTGGCTATTTTCAGGAGTATACAAGGATACCAGCGATGACCAGCTTATTCTAACTGTCTCAGTAAGTAGCTGATAATCAAAATAATGCGTTTTAGAGCAATATTTAATTTCAGGCCTCCTGTCATTCCCTAGATTATCATTTCTTTGTTTAACGGTTGCGCATGAGAA